TTTTTAGATTATGTCTCTCACAGTGGACATGCGCCTATGATGACAATTTCAGACCCCTCCATGATTTCTAAGTGGGAGAACTTGCAAAAGAGCAGGGTGTTCAAATACTTATTTTCCTCACTGTAGATATATATATATACACACTGTGTGCAGAATTATTAGGCACGTTGATTTTCTGATCATATTTTTTTTCAATGCACATTTTGCCAATTCCAAACCACATTAATCTTAATAACTACTATTAATTTTGTATTTAATCATTTATAAGTGATATACACTCACCGGCCACTTTATTAGGTACACCTGTCCAACTGCTCGTTAACACTTAATTTCTAAGCAGCCAATCACATGGTGGCAACTCAGTGCATTTAGGCATGTAGACATGGTCAAGACAATCTCCTGCAGTTCAAACCGAGCATCAGTATGGGGAAGAAAGGTGATTTGAGTGACTTTGAACGTGGCATGATTGTTGGTGCCAGAAGGGCTGGTCTGAGTATTTCAGAAACTGCTAATCTACTGGGATTTTCACGCACAACCATCTCTAGGGTTTACAGAGAATGGTCCGAAAAAGAAAAAACATCCAGTGAGCGGCAGTTCTGTGGGCGGAAATGCCTTGTTGATGCCAGAGGTCAGAGGAGAATGGCCAGACTGGTTCGAGCTGATAGAAGGGCAACAGTGACTGAAATAACCACTCGTTACAACCGAGGTATGCAGCAAAGCATTTGTGAAGCCACAACACGCACAACCTTGAGGCGGATGGGCTACAACAGCAGAAGACTCCACCGGGTACCACTCATCTCCACTACAAATAGGAAAAAGAGGCTACAATTTGCAAGAGCTCACCAAAATTGAACAGTTGAAGACTGGAAAAATGTTGCCTGGTCTGATGAGTCTCGATTTCTGTTGAGACATTCAGATGTTAGAGTCAGAATTTGGCGTAAACAGAATGAGAACATGGAACCATCATGCCTTGTTACCACTGTGCAGGCTGGTGGTGGTGGTGTAATGGTGTGGGGGATGTTTTCCTGGCACACTTTAGGCCCCTTAGTGCCAATTGGGCATCGTTTAAATGCCACGGCCTACCTGAGCATTGTTTCTGACCATGTCCATCCCTTTATGGCCACCATGTACCCATCCTCTGATGGCTACTTCCACCATGTCACAAAGCTCTAATCATTTCAAATTGGTTTCTTGAACATGACAATGAGTTCACTGTACTAAAATGGCCTCCACAGTCACCAGATCTCAACCCAATAGAGCATCTTTGGGATGTGGTGGAACGGGAGATTCGCATCATGGATGTGCAGCCGACAAATCTGCGGCAACTGTGTGATGCCATCATGTCAATATGGACCAAACTCCCTGAGGAATGCTTCCAGCACCTTGTTGAATCTATGCCACGAAGAATTGAGGCAGTTCTGAAGGCAAAAGGGGGTCCAACCCGTTACTAGCATGGGGTACCTAATAAAGTGGCCGGTGAGTGTATAATTGTTCATGAAGGCTAGAAATGAAAAACGCCTTATATTCAGGTGTGCATTATTTTTAGGCACGTCTTCTTTTACACAGTGCTTGAAGTGGGGGAGAAAAAGGTGCCGGTACTCACTTGCATTGGCAAATCATGACATTTGAAATTTCTACAGTGAAAAACTTGGAAATATTGCTGGTACAACAACAATTTATTGTTATTTATTAACAACATAAATGTATTTAAACAAGTCGTGTGTGTGCGTGCGTGTGTGCGCGCATTTATTTACAAAGAAACATTCTCTTTTTAGAAGTTGGTCATTAATAAACTTGATTCTTGAAGTTTGTTAAGATGAGAGGTATACAACAATTACATTTAAATGGTAAACAACAAAAACAACCAAGAAAAGAGCTCTGATATTGTCTTTTCAGTCATATGTTTACAAGACAGCAAACATTAAAAAAAAGTAAACTCGGGTTTGATTTGGGCATGTCTGTGTAGGCTATTACATAAACTAAAAGAAAGCTTATATTCTGACTAGTTTGCTCGTTTTATTTATTAATAAAACATAGTTTTACCCAAACTGTATAATTAAGACAAGTTTAAATGGCTAAATCTTGTATAAATATTTTTGAGTCTTCATTTTCTTTTAGCCTAGGCTACTCCAGTTCTTGTTAAAACACACACATGCAAATTCTGTGCATTTTGGGCACTTTTTGTGTGAAATCATATTTATTTTCTACATCAAAAGTGTGTTTTGCTTTCACTTTAAATGTCGTGAGTAGCACAACAATAGACTCGGCGCCGAACCCCCGCATCACTGCTGCTCACGCGACGCTCCTCCTCGCGGTGTGAATGCACTCATTGATTAACGCAAGCCGGAAAAAATACGCGCTGCTCACGCGTGCGGTGGCCGCGATCAGCTCCGGTAGCCGTTTCGCAGCCGTAACGCGCCGCAGATGTGTGCAGTGTAAATAAGTGGGTTAAACGGCCGTCACGCTTTTTCTGTCAGTAGAGTACCGGCTACATGCGAGAAGTAGCGGAACGCAAGAAAAAGTGCAGGTACGCTTAAGAGTAAAGTGTAGAAGTGCCGGTACTGTGTACCGGTGAGTACCACCCCACTTCGAGCACTGCTTTTACAGATAAAATAAGCCAAAAAAGATGATTAACACTTATCTGCCTTTATCTCCACAACGCTTTATCATATTCAGACCAAACTTGGTACGTCATCACAATCATGACTTAAGGCTACATGCTGTGTTTGGGCGCAGCGCCACCTACTGGTCCGGAGATACAGAAAATGGCTATTTTAGGTTATAACTTCTGAACGGTTTGTACGAAAATCATAAAAGTGGTCTGAGTTTTATGAACGGTATGGGTCATCTGCACAATGCTCTGAAAAGAGTCTGAGAAGTTTCGAGATGGTCCTCACTGCGGAACATGAAATCCACGGGGAGGAGTCGGATCCAGATCCGACTCCTCCCACCTTACATACACCTAAACCTACCCAACTCCGCCCCCTGATCCCTAAACCCACCCCTAATCCCTAAACCCAACCCTAATCCTACCCATCTCCACCCCTTGGATCTTGATCCGACTCCTCCCCGTGGATCTCATGTACTGCATTGAGGTGCTACTGGAAGTTTCGGACCAGAGCCATCAGTGGTGGGAAAAAAATATTTACACTTATAACTTTGGATTTGGTTGACTTATATTCACGGGAGTCATCTCCTTACATTCCCGAATCCTTGACGAGTCCAACGATACCAAACATTCTAGGTTTTGCCTTATGGTTGGCGCAATGTTGTAAATTAGTGTTAATGTGTGTCTCTCTTTCTTCTTCTTCCTGGAGCCGGTGTGGAACAGGGGAGGCTAGCTGCTTCATTCGGTAGTGTGTGCTTCACCGTGTGAAAAAACAAAACAAAAAACAAACCTTTTAACTGTTAAACCATTTAACTGATAGTATTAATCGGTCAAAATTTTTACTTTCGGTTAACGGGAGCATCCCTAACTATTACCAAACTAAAATGTGTTGAAAGAAACATGTTAAAATATAATCCATTTATTTTTCTCTACTGATGTGTTCCTTTCTAATTATTTATAGTTATAGGCCGCCTGCATTTTTCCCATAAAATAAGTTCTGTAAAGTAAATTATTATTTTAATTACTATATTATTCTTAAATACTGTCTTTTTACGTTTGATAATTAAATGTTTTTACTATAGTAATAAATATATTTTTTTAATTACATTTTTATTTAAAATTAATAATCATATATTTTTATTTAGAACTAATCATAATAATAATTTATTAATCATATTGATCTATCTATTTTTGGGCCACTAAATTGTGCAGCCCTAGTTTTTCCTAATGTTCGAAGTTGTGTTTTACAGTCCTGCTAAATCAAACTTTTCTCTTCAAAGAGTCTCTTCAAATAGTTTTTCTCTGATAACATGGTAAATGACAGGTACGTTGAACAGGAACTGTTTTAGGAATGCAGACTGGAATAATAACCATTTTACAACCATTTTTTAATTGTGTTATTTCACAGCAAGACATAAGTTTATCTAACATTGTGATTTTGAGGTGTTAAACTGAATGAAATATAAGAGGAAGCGTCTAAACAACCTTAGAAATTAGAGGGTGTCTCCCACAACCGCTCAATATTTGAAACTTTAGCAAAGGAGATGGTCAGGTATGGCCATGGGCGTTCACATACATGACAAAAGCAAATAAAAGCCTCAAGGCAACGTGACAGATGCAAATAAATTACATGGTGGAGTGTAGGAGCATCAACTGTTCAGACGAGTATCTGTCATGGGATTTAAAAAGTCATGTTAACAGTCAAACCTTTCGTTTGATTATTTTTTAGCAGAAAATCAGATTTGACCCACATTAAGCTCAGGTGTGCACATAACCTTTATTTGACTCGCAAACAAACTGTCTTGTGCCATTTTAAACTCCACACTTACAAAAATAGCCTCACATCTGCATGTTTTTTCACTTATCTGTAAGTGTGATGGCAAACTCAATTTTTTATTACACTGATCCTGGTAAAAAAAAAAAAAAAACTTGCCAGCCACCGCCAGCATTTTTGATCATTTTCACAAAAGTTTCATGGCCCCCAGAATATTTTTTTGTATGAATTTCTGAACATGCAATATATCAAAAGGAGGAACAGAGCATGTGCTTTAAAAAAAAAAAAAAAGTTTTGTTCTATGCATTCCTTTTTATCAACACTTGAATGTGGGTAAGTCTCATAAAAAAAGCTTAAATGAGCAACACCCCTAAAGCTTCACAGTCCTATAGCTCGTCCTGGGTCAACATTTCATTCAATAACATTAGGCGGTCTTGATTTATATGCTGTTGATCGTGTTATTTTACATAAGCACTGGCTTACATATGATATTGCTTGTTTCTGCTTCTTCTTCACCTGTGTTTTGATCCAGAGATGCAGTACTTGTTCAGAAGATGTTATAGCGCCCCCTACAGTATAACAGTGAATACACGGAAAGCTGGACATTTTGTGTCAATGGCGGGGGAGTTAAATTTCCTTCTTCCAGAATGAATGCACAAATGACTTTGAAATTGCTTATTTTTCTAAACTTCTTGCCAGATTGAGGAACCCTCGATTCCAGAATGAGTTTGCAAATGACGCTTCAGGTCCCTTTGATATGTGAAACACATTTCACACTGAATACATGTGTAAGGCTTCTCTCCAGTGTGAACTCTTATATGTGTCTGAAGGTTTCCTTTAAATCTGAAGCTCTTTCCACACTGAGGGCAGGTGAAAGGCTTCTCTCCAGTGTGAACTCTCATATGAACCTCAAGGTTTGTTTTGTTTGAGAAAGTCTTTCCACAGTGATAGCACATGAAAGGCTTCTCTCCGGTGTGAGTTATTATGTGCGCCGTAAGATTATTTATATCTGTGAAACTCATTCCACACTGATGACATATACAACAGTCTTCTCTTGAGTGCGTCCTCAGGTGCTTTTTAAGGGTTACTTTGTGGCTGAAACTCTTTCCACACTGATCACATGTGAACGGCTTCTCTCCAGTGTGACTGTTCACGTGATACCTTAGGTTTAGTTCTGTTGTGAAACTCTTTCCACACAGTTTGCAGATGTAAGGCTTCTCACCAGTGTGAATTCTCATGTGCCTGTTAAAGCTTCCTTTTTGTGTGAAACTGTTTCCACACTGTTGGCAGGTGAAAGGCTTCTCTTTGGTGTGAACCATCATGTGACCTTTAAGGATTCCTTTCGTAGTGAAACTGTTTCCACACTGTTGGCAGGTGTAAGGCTTCTCTCCAGTGTGAATGTTCATGTGGGCTTTAAGGGTTCCTTTTTTAGTGAAACTCTTTCCACAATGAGGGCAGATGAAATAACTTATAGTTTCTGTTTGTTGAGCTCTTCTTTGTGAGGAATATTTCTCAGTCTGTGAACAACTAAACCGTTTTTCTCCAGTTGTGGAATCATGTTTCTCATACTGAGCTCTCTCCATTTCATTCAGTACTTCACTATCCTCTTTCAGTGGCATCAGGTCTAAAGAGAAAAGAGACAAATACAAGTTAACGCCAGTTTAATGACACAAAGCAACAGACATCAAAACCTTTAGACATGCTGAATCATACACCAACTATGCAACTGAAAGAGTTGTTACCTGTAATCTCAGAACCTCGTCACTGTTTAGGACACATCCCAAATACTTTCAAGCTGGCAGTTATCATACCCCTTACCTAAAACCCAGTTTTACCAGTTTTATTGATTCAAGAAGGTGCTGAAAGCATTCTTTAGAAATGTTGGCCCATATTGATAGGATAGCATCTTGCAGCTGATGGAGATTTGTGGGATGCACATCCAGGGCAAGAAGCTCCCGTTCCACCACATCCCAAAGATGCTCTATTGGGTTGAGATCTGGTGACTGTGGGGGCCATTTTAGTACAGTGAACTCATTGTCATGTTCAAGAAACCAATTTGAAATGATTAGAGCTTTGTGACATGGTGGAAGTAGCCATCAGAGGATGGGTACATGGTGGCCATAAAGGGATGGACATGGTCAGAAACAATGCTTAGGTAGGCCGTGGCATTTAAACGATGCCCAATTGGCACTAAGGGGCCTAAAGTGTGCTATGAAAACATCCCCCACACCATTACACCACCACCACCAGCCTGCACAGTGGTAACAAGGCATGATGGTTCCATGTTCTCATTCTGTTTACGCCAAATTCTGACTCTACCATCTGAATGTCTCAACAGAAATCGAGACTCATCAGACCAGGCAACATTTTTCCAGTCTTCAACTGTCCAATTTTGGTGAGCTCTTGCAAATTTTACCCTCTTTTTCCTATTTGTAGTGGAGATGAGTGGTACCCGGTGGGGTCTTCTGCTGTTGTAGCCCATCCGCCTCAAGGTTGTGCGTGTTGTGGCTTCACAAATGCTTTGCTGCATACCTCGGTTGTAACGAGTGGTTATTTCAGTCAAAGTTGCTCTTCTATCAGCTTGAATCAGTCGGCCTATTCTCCTTTGACCTCTAGCATCAACAAGGCATTTTCGCCCACAGGACTGCCGCATACTGGATGTTTTTCCCTTTTCACACCATTCTTTGTAAACCCTAGAAATGGTTGTGCGTGAAAATCCCAGTAACTGAGCAGATTGTGAAATACTCAGACCGGTCCGTCTGGCACCAACAACCATGCCACGCTCAAAATTGCTTAAATCACCTTTCTTTCCCATTCTGACACTCAGTTTGGAGTTCAGGAGATTGTCTTGACCAGGACCACACCCCTAAATGCATTGAAGCAACTGCCATGTGATTGGTTGATTAGATTTTGCATTAATGAGAAATTGAACAGGGGCACGTTCAAGTTCAAAACGGTGCGCAACGTTTTGCTACGGTTTCCGGGTTGAACATCATGTTTCCTGGAAACGGCGTGCACCAGTGTGCACCAGGGTTTGAGATGCGTTTTCTCTTGTTTGGTGGTTGTGTCAGAACTGCAGTCCAATCAGCAGCAACATGTATATAACGCACGCTGTATTAAAGTAAACTCGCACAATGGGTTCAAGGAAAGTTATTTACAAATGTGTTCGATGCAGCTCGGTATACGCAACAACTGAGGATATTAGAAGACATGTTTGTCGTAAGTTTTATGGTAAAAATATAGGATATCAACATAATGATGTAGTTGTTTATATTTTTAGCTTCATTGCAAGTGTATGACATTTGGTATAGAAATAAACAATGGTAATTAAGTGCTTTTCCTAAAAATGAGAAAGAAAATACAGGGAATTAAAACAGTATGAACTACAAATAAAGTCAGTGTGTGAGGATAAATAGATGTGTTTTAGTCTGAATTAGGTCAGATGTGTGCTTCCATTTCAGTTTCCACAAATCCCTTCACTCGACTGGGATGCTTTCTTGTGTTCTGGGCGGCAAGTGCAGTAACTGTGTTTAATACTACAAAATATGCCCGATGTTACATATTTATATCGACTTCATCAGGCTCCGAAAATTCTTCACAAAGAACACAAAGAATGGCCTTTCTCAGCTGCCATAGTTGCAACTCTTGCGTCATCAGAACAGTGCGTTCAACGCATCACCGTTTCTGTTTAAAAAACGTTGTGCAACGTTTTGTCGGCGCTGAACGCAGCCCTGGTGTTCCTAATAATCCGGAACACCTGTTCAATTTCTCATTAATGCAATTATCTAATCAACCAATCACATGGCAGTTGCTTCAATGCATTTAGGGGTGTGGTCCTGGTACTGGTCCTGGATGAGAGTCATCAGTACTATATATATATATATATATTAGGGCTGGGCAAATTAAAGCGTTATTATCGCATTAACGCATTTATTAATTAATGCCGACAATTTTTTTGTCGCACGTTAACGCAGTTTTTTTTTTAAATTATTTTGAAAGTCCGTTGCTCACTGACTCTGAATACATATAGGCCTACAGTCAAACCATGGATCACAGGACAGGAGGGGTGGGATGTTGGTCAGCCAGCAGATAACCCACCCAAACAAGCAGTGGAGAGGCTTTGGCAGGTTCTCTCAGGTGAACAGAAAGGGAGACAGCGCTCCGCGAGTGAATGACAGGCGCTCTATGGATAGTAACCATGGCAACGGCTTCTGTGCGCTACACAGCTGTAGCCTTTTTAACTTAAATTAAAATTATACATAACTTTACCTGATGTGCCTGCGTGTAGTTTAGCGGGGATGCTCTGCAATGTGAATTCCCTTCTGTTGATGTCCTGATAACTATTTAGATTGGGAAACTCACAAACAGCAAACCGGGGATCAGTCTCTCTTCCAATGATTTGTGCTGCGCGTCGTGTAGCTACAAAAAGACAATTCAACTTCTGCAACGGGAGGGCGCGGGCGTGAGGCGAGCATGACCGCAACAGTTTCACAGGAACGCACCCGCTTGTCGCTGCACCTGTGCTCGACCACTTCACCTCACTCTAGGCTGATTATACTTCTGCGTCGGACCGGACGAACCTACGCCGGAGCCTCTACGCTATAGACTACGCGTTGGTCTTTATTTATAGCCTACTTCTGCGTCGTTGTCCCCCTTGACGCGCAATTACACATGCAGAGGGAGAGTGTGAAACCCGGGGAGCAGTTCTAGCAATCACAGCGCTTGCAGTACGCGTAGAATTGATGCATTGTTACATTTTTGGAGAGGTGCACGTCAGGGTACGCGCGCAAACACACAGCAGGTACGTAGCTACGCCGTGAGTTCGACGCAGAAGTATACATTGGGCTTTACATCTGTTTAATGTAATCTAGTGTACGTGGGAAACCATGTCATGACCAAACCTAAGCTACTATCAGAGAAGTAACGTTGGTCGACTTATATCTGTAGTAGTGGTCATGATCTCTGACTACATAGACTGTTTCTGCTGCTCCCTGATAAAAGATACCTGTTGATACCTGTTCAGAAAAAAACAACAACAAGAAAACTGGACTCATTTTAACAAGCTAGATAGAAAGTTTTAATATTTGATTTGATTACATTAATGTTTAAGTTGAGATTTACAATAAATATTTTATTGCTACTGTGTAAAGGGAATACTGCTGGTATAAAGCACCTTATTTGTTTAAAGTTTTTGCAAACCACATGTTATTGCACTTTTGTGTATATAGCAGTACATTTAAATCAAAAGTGCGCAATACACTACTTTAGAATTCATTATTCACTCTTGTGCGTAACAATGCGATTAATCGCAATAAATTCATGCGATTAAAATTTGTAATCGTTGCCCAGCACTAATATATGTATATATAGTACTAAGTACTTAGTATTAAGACTGAATTCACTGATGACTGTCATACTGCCACTTAAATGTCTTTCAATCTTATTTTCTTTAAAAATAATTTTTTTAATCAGTCTGTCTTGAAAAAAATCAGTGCCTACAAGTGCATGGTATGGCATGACTGAATGCGCGCAAAGTGCGCTCCCTTAATTAATAATTCCTAAAAAGCTGACAGTTTATCGCAATCTCACACATCTCTGTTATCAATGAAGCTGACTGCACAATGAATCTTTCATAATATCCACATTTTGTTTGTTATAATTATGGCGCTTTTCCACTGCACAGTACCAGCTCGCCTTGGCTCGGCTCGGCTCGCCTTTGTTTGGTTTTCCACTGTGTAAAAGTTGTACCTGTACCTGCTTTCGGGTACTTTTTTTCGTACCACCTCCGGCGAGGTTCTAAGCGAGCTGAGGCGAGCTAAGCCGATACTAAAATGTGACGTGAAAACAATGCCGACTGCTGATTGGTCACAGAGAATCTGCGTCATCATTGCACGCGCCAGATGGAGTATCCAGAATAACCCCGCCATTTTTAAATAGTTTGGCCAGAGATAGTTACTAAACTTACTACTATTATTATGGCAACTCGGAAGAATACGCCGTGGTCAAACGAGGAGGTGCAGACATTCCTTTGTTTGGTTGCCGAAGAGAGGATCCAGCGAGAGCTTGATGGGGCAACGAGGAACGAAATGCGTCGCTATGACGACCGGGTACTATTTGTGGCGGTACTTTCTGCAATGGAAAACGGAGCGAAAAGCGAGCCGAGTCGAGGCGAGCCAAGTCGAGTCGAGTCGAGCTGGTACTGGTAATGGAAAAGCGCCATTAGAGGATTTGCCAGCATACAGAATTCAGCACTGAACAGAAAGTCCGTTTTGAGCGGTGAGGGGAGTCTATCTTAAATGTCTCTGATTGGCCATTGCGTTCAAGAAATCAACACATATGTCTGTGATTGGCTACATCGCTCAACGCTGCAAACATGTTATGAATAGAAACTCTGGCATGTAAATCATTTCTATTGTGTTTTAGCTGTTCTTGTTGCTTTTCTGAATGAAAATCTATTAGTTTTCATGTTTTATTCATAGATATTTATAGTTTCTATAAATCGCGAATCGTTTTATTCTCCCGCAACCCGCACACACAGAGTGAGTGCATTACCGCCCGCACTCGGCCATCAAATCTAGTCCCGCGCCGCACTCTATTGCGTTGGGAGTGCACGTCTCTAGATCA